GGGATTAATAGCCCCAGGGAGGCCGGGGTCACATTCCTGGGGGTCTTCTGTGAACTGCAGATAGAAAGGCAACAGAGCAAGGATTCATGCAGGATTGCTCACTTGGAGAGGATAAAACCAGCACTCCAGGCCAAGGGGGACAGTTTGTGAGTGTGTGTGCAAATATGGATGCAAAGCAGTTTCTGGATCAGCAACTAACCCTTGCTTACTGTTGGGGGGGCGGCGCGGAGTGCAGCCTGTGTGTGTGTGTGTGTGTGTGTGTGTGTGTGTGTTGATCTGATGGCTGTTTTTCTAAACATGTGGGAAAAAAAAAAAAAGCTGGGGTGTATCTCCAAGAGTTTGAAATGTACTTGGCATAAGATAATACTCTCTCTATTCTTAACCCTGGATGAGGTCGTAGTTAGAACTTTGTCTACTTTTAGCCTTAAGTACGGGCAGGGGAGGGTTCAGAGCAGCACCATCCAGTAGGAATATAACATAAATCACATATGTAATTTAAACTTTTCTGGTAGTAAGACGGAAAAAGTGAAATTAATTTTAACAATATATTTTATTTAGTCCAATATATCTAAAGTAGTATTTAAACTATTAATATAATTACATAATAGTATATAATCAATCTAATTATTAATGATATAGTTTACAGTCTATATTTTATGCTAAGTTTTTGAAATCCAGTATGTATTTTTATATTTACAGCACATTTCATACTGGCCATAACTCAAGTGTTATTGGCTACCATATTAGACAGCATAGATTCAGAGGAAGAGATACAGAAAGCTATACACAGTTAGAAATGGGGCCGGGAGCGGGGGGCACCTGGGTGGCTCAGTTGGTTAAGCGTCTGCCTTCAGCTCAGGTCATGATCCCGGGATGCTGGGGTCTAGTACCACATCAGTCCCCTGCTCAGTGGGGAGCCTGCTTCTCCCTCTCCCTCTCCCTCTGCCTGTCCCCCTGCTCTTGCTCACTCTCTTTCTAAAATAAAATAAAATAAGAGAATGGGGCCAGGGAAAGAAAAATATATGCCAAAGGAAAAAAATCTGAAGGTAAATAGCCTTCAAAGTGAAGGGCGAATCCCTTCCTCGGATATCAGCGGTCTCCGTCTCCCCTGAGGGTCCACATGCCGCACACACCTCCTCCAAAACTGGTTTCTATCCCAACTATATGAAATGTTCGACTTAAATGTAAGGAATGCATTTCAAACAGGAAGAAATTGAATCTTAGCTAATAGGATAAATGTTTATTGCTTTTGTCCTTCATTGCACAAACTGTGAGTACGGAGTCCAATTACCCTTACCTCTCGGGGATGACTTAAGTTTATACTAGATGTCAACTTTGTCTAGATGTGAAGCCGATGATGACGATTGTCCTCTGATTTGGATATGGCCTGAGACCAAGGAAGATATTAGCTGGGTTAGTACCCCTTCTGGTACTTTGCATCCTTGAGTTAAGGACTGGACCGTACCTGTTACCGCACACTGTACCTTTTACATAAAGAAAAAGTATTCAGGAAGAGAAGCGACTGCACCTCTTGTCACAAAGGGCAGAAGCCAGGTGTTGCTATGGTCATAAGCGTCCCAACGGGACTCGAGAGGAAGGTGGTGTAAGTTGGTCAGACACTGAGGACTCAGTATTCGGTGGCTTTGTCACCCTGTGTAAATCTTCACACTTCCTTGAGCCTTAAAATTCCTTTTCCACCCTAAGTCAAAAGGTTAGTGTAAAAGTCAGATGAGGTAACGGATCTCTGTTTGCTTTGAAAGCTGTTGTTTGTTTGTTTTTAAGTGCTTTGCAAAAAAGAGCTAGTGAAATATTCAGGTCCTTTTTACTATATCTGATGTAACAAACCTCTTTTAAGCACCAAATATTTGCTTGATGATCGATTCTAGTCACTCCTTTTAGATTAAATTCATTGAAAGATGCTACAGGACTTCTGTAAGCTATGGACATAATGTGAAGAGGTGGTCCACATCCTCTCTTTGTCCTGCATTTGACCGAGGGTCATTAGACCACCAGCCGCAGTTTGGAAATATTTTGGTTATTATGAGAACTTTCATTTTCATGAGGTATGACCCACACTGATCAGTCTTGACACACTCTAGCCAAAGAATCTCAGTGAAGGATAATTAAGGTCCTCTACAGCCTTAGTCCCCCAGATTGATCTGTGGACCAGCATCAGGGGCATCACCAACAGAATTGTAGAGTGTCGAGGGCACGTGATGGAATGAGCACTGGGTGTTATACGCAACTGATGAATCACTGACCTCTACCTCTGAAATTAATAATACACTATATGTTAATTAATTGAATTTAAATAAAATTTTAAAAATAAAAGTTAAAAAAAATGTAGAGCCTCAGGGTGCACCCCAGGTGTGTCCGGTCAGAGTCTGCATGTTAACAGGGTTCCCAGGTGATGGCAGCATCCACGAAAGGTTGAGAAGCAGTGCCACACAGCCTCCCATCGAGTGATAGCTCAGCCTCGGCTTCCACGGCCACTGGGATCGGCAGCTCCCTTCCTCTCCAGGGAGCCCTTCTACTGGACAGCTCGCACTTTTAGACTTTTCCCTCCTGTCAAAATCTGCCTGTTAGGGATCACCCAGAATACATTTCCTTCTTCTACCACGTTAAAGCCCACATAGCAAGTGCTTGGAAATGTCATTACTTTCCTTCGTTACACAGAAGCTTGGACCCGGAGGCTGGGTGGGTGGTGAGTGGGGCCACACAAGGTCACCTGGCAAAGACCAGCAGGTCCTGAGACCTTGGAGAAGGACCATGAAAAGGCCCCTTGCAGTTCTGGCTCTTCCTTTACTCCTGCCAGAGTGCAGGGTTTAAAGGATTGCCGTTTTGAAGAAGTTTAGAGAACGTGAAGAGGTTTCCCAAAAGGACAGGAATATAGAAGTGATGTCTAGGGTGAAAGTTGGTCCTGCGAGACATGCTAAACACGAGGGGATGGTGTGGTGGCATGCGAGGGGCCGCCCAGCAGCTCGACCTCTTACTAGCTGTGGGACATTGGGGCATGAACTAAACCCCCTGAGCATTAGCTTCCTGGGTTTTAAAGGCAAAAAGGGTGATAAACCCTGTTCTGCCTATCTCCAGGGTTTCTGTGGGACTCATGGAGAATAAAACCAGTGAGCACTCTTAATGACGTGGGAAATGGTCCAAGGATGAAAGAGAAGATCCAGTGGGACAGTAAATGAATCCAGAAGACAAATCTACCACTGGCTTGCTGTGTGATCTCAGGGGAGGCCCTTGGCCTCTCTGGGCCTCTCTCTGAATCAAGTGGGTCATATACGCAAAATCTGAGCACCCTTCTAGAAGGCCCTGGAGTTACCATGGCTTGTTGCTGTTGGTGCACATTACCGAGAGGGTTTCTCCAAGAAGGATGGCTCTTCAAATATTTATTTAGGGAGATTTCTTAGAGCTTGGAATTGAATCCTTTCTCAGGGAAGTGATTCCAGACACTCTTCCTGGCCTCCTGTGGGAGACCCATTTTAAATAATGGGTCTGCTTGGCCACAGTCGCACTTGTGTTTCCATGTCAGCATGTGGTACCTGAGCTGGTGAGTGAAGAGTGATGGTTTTATTTCTGCAGCTGCGTTAGGACACCCAGTCCTATTTCTGGAAGCAAGCTCTGCCCTGTGAGATGTCTGAACTCATTCCTGGCTGGAGGGTGTCATGTGCAGAGTTTTCCAGGGGAACGGTCTTGTTTGATACTTCAGATATCACCAAGGAGTTTTTCAGAAGCATTTCTGTTTGTTTTCACAAGTACGCAGATGTGGCAGACCTGTTAGTTTTGTGAGCCTGCTTTGCCAGAGGAGGCTTCTAGGCGACAAGATAACTGAAACTGACTTTTGGTTCAGCAGCCCTTCCGTAGATACTTTGCCAGCTGAGAGCAAAAGGACCAATGTGTGTGTTTATGGAGGGTCATAACTGTTCCTTAAGACAGCCCTTCTGTGTCTCTTTCCTGCCAATCTGGGGACCCTGTGTTCATGCTCAACTCACTGTGCTCATATTCCCAACCTCCCATTTCATTGCCTGGATGCTTGCTTCTAACTCTGTACATTGCGTTTTCTCCTGTGCACCCACCGTGTTGTCATGGAAACTCGATGGCCGTAGGCCATGAGTATCCGGCGTCATCGAGTGTGATGGTGTGGTACGTGTATTTGCTCACACTTTTATTTTGAATCCGTTCCAATGTTCATCTGCTAAAATGTCTCCCTTATAATTTGCTTGGTGATCACAGCCTTCTCATCATTCACTGAGAGCAGGACCTGATCTCACAGAATCTGAAAAGAGCTATGTGGTAAGATGCCTGTAGCTTTTCTAAAGAGAACCCTTACTGACTTCTAGAGTCTCGACTGGAGTAATGCCTGGCTGACTCACAGAGCCATTATTTGCAAGAATTAAATGGCGGTTGTGCTGGAGGGAAATGTTAGGCCCACCCCCTTCCCTCTCAGAAAGGAGAGGAGTTTAGAGACCATATTTGTACTCTGCCTACATGTGGGATTAAATTAATGGTTAGTGCATGATTGGGGGTCCATACTTGCATTTCTATCCTGAAGTTATTCCATTTGTGACAGTTACTCACTAATTACAGGCTTTTATGCTGCTGCCTTTGTTTTTAATATTCATACTAAATTCCCAATTCTTCTGTATCTTACCTGTTTCTTCCATGCTTACGACTGGATCCCTCCTGCACTCCACTACTGGAATATCTATTTTTTTAACCTGGATCTTCAACTCTGTTGTTTCCCTGGACTTATGTGCTTCGTCCGGAATGTTACATCTCTTCCTCTCTTTATTTTTTTTTCTTTTTGTTTTTTGTCCCCATGTTGACTGTTTTATGGGGGTTTCTGGATATCTCGGGGCCACTCACAGGAAGCAGTTTGCAATGAGATCATAAACATTGCCGAAAAATCTGTTCATTACTGCAGCACTGTTTCTCATCCTCTTGACTTTCATCACAAGGTATCTGACAATAAATCATCTTTAATCATTTCTCAGCAACCTCAAGCCCAGCAGCGAAGAGTCACCCCAGACAGGAGTCAAACCTCACAAGATATGTAAGTACACTTGGCGAACTTCCTTTCTCACGTTCTTAATAGACTCTTGGCTTTAGAGAATGAGTCATTGACCAAGTGTGGGGGCAGCTACTTGGGGGAATGGACGGGTCACCCCCGGCTTCTCTGAGGATTTCTAGTTGAGGCCATGTTTCCCATCAGCCAACATGAAACAGGTGGTGGGTGGGTGAATAAAGGAGGTCACAGACTACCAGGAGATAGAGACCAGGAAAGAATGAACTGCCATCGAGGGGCAAATGAGGGCAGTGCTGACTGGCTTCAGTACTAGTGTTGTGGGAATATAGAGGAAGGAGTCATTGGTTCTGCCTAGAGGAATAGAGTTGATCCCACTCATTAAAGAAAAAAAAAATCATTGGATATCTCCCATGTTTTAAGCATATAGGAGCAAACTCCATTCCCAGAAGAAGAGAGATTTGGAATGAGCATTGAAAGACACATTGAAGGGCCCTGGCTGGCTCAGTCAGTAGAGCATGCAACTTGATTTCAGGGTCATGAGTTCAAGCCCCACGTGGCTGTAGAGCTTACAGAAAGAAAGATAGAAAGGGAGAGAGAGAGGAAGAAAAGAAAGGAAAGGAGGAAAGAAAGACAAACTGGATTTGAGAGTTAAAAGGTCTTCCCAGCTGAGGAAACCATACATGCAAAGAGCCAGGGTAGATGGTGTGTTTGGGGAACTCGGAGAAGGCCCATGTGGTGAAAGGACTCAATGGAATGGCGCACTGAGCAGCATGAAGGCCATCCAAAATTAGAGCTGACTGGGGGACCCAAGCTGCGAGGTTCTGGGACCTTGGCCCCCCAGTCTCCACTGTCTGGGAGTGAGGATAGAGAAGCAGGTATCAGGGATTACTTCCCAGAGCTGAGGCTAGCAAGGCAGCCATGGTGGAAGTAAAGAGGAAGATAAGGCATTCTGAGGAGTCCAAGTTGGTTGGAGACAGCAGGCAAGTATGGAAACATCAAAAATGTACTCACTTACCTACTGGAAATCTATCTGCATCTCTTAACTGCTCATTGGAGACTTCCTTCTGGCAGACAGATCCATCTAGTGAATTATCAATACATTTGGATAAATGTATAAAATTAAATGAGCCCTTTGTTTCAGCAGAGGAAAATGAACCTCTCATTCCTGGGGACTGGCTCCTCTTACTTGTTTCTAGTCTCATTTGCCCACTTACTGGAATTCACTGGCATCTACTGGAAATGGTAGATGGTTGGCTCATTTGCAAAGTTTTGCCCTCTACTGTTGTGTTTCAGAATAGTAAGTACACAGAATTGTGAACTTACTAGTTCACAGAGGCATAGTAGATGCTTCTTAAATATTTGTCAAAGGAATAAATGAAAACAAACTTTTCCTTGTTGGATTTTACAAGTAGGCCAGCCTCCTCCCGTGAGCTGTTGTCAGGACAGACCGAACAGCACAGACCAGATTGCCTTAGGCCAACTAACAAGTAAATAAAAATCTTACTCCCAAACATCACTGGGATAGAAAGAAAGCAAAAGCTTTCAAGAATTTTGAAAAAAACGACATCACATTTAAAAACAATTAATGAGGGGCACCTCCTGGTTGGCTCAGTCAGAAGAACGTGTGACTCTTGATCTTGGGGTCATGAGTTTCGGCTTCACTTCGGATGTAGAGATTACTTAAATGAATAAATAAAAACAATCAATGAAATATGTATCAGCATATTAAACTCAAGGTAAGCAATTAGAATGTACTTTTCATATCTATATTAATGCAACAATTTTATATATATACAACAATTGCTTTGTGCTCTCCAATGTATATGTCCAGAATATAGTGTCTATCTCTAGACCTGAGTAACTTCTTATTTTGGACCTAAGTAACGTCTGATTATCCTTGATAATCTATATACATTCTCCTATGTTAAGAAAAAGCCTTGGTTAACTTTAAAGAGGGGCATCTAGACAAAATGCTTAGCTGTGGTCACCAAATGAAACTAAATAAAAGGAGACAAAATGTTTAGCTATGGTAACCAAATGAAACTAAATAAAAGGACTGATCATAACCTTGCTTGTCAGAGGCTTCCCATCCCCTGACATCAGTCTTCATTTCCTTATTATATACTGAATCTCCCCAAATGCTACACTATCAGGGAAATAGCCAATAAAATACTTTCATCCCCACTATTGAGTACGAAACACTACCTAAGTGTTGATTTAATGGAATTGAGCTTTAAAAACTCATTATTCGGTCCTATCAGTGTTTGAATCAATGTCTCTCATTTTTAGATTTAGTTACCAAGCATTATATAGCTACACACCACAGAATGATGATGAATTGGAACTCCGAGACGGAGATATTGTCGATGTCATGGAAAAATGTGATGACGGGTGGTTCGTTGGTAAGTGATCTCCTGGTGCCTTTCTTACTAGCTGTGTATTGAAGGAGTAACTAGGAGTGATAAGCCACGCAAAAGGCAATATTCTCTGCACAGAAAAAAAGAGCCTTTCGCCTTTCTCAAATCCGGTACTGCTGTCAGGAGTGCTGGGCCACCCACTTTATGCTTGCTCTGAAGACAGTGTGGATGACGCTCATGATACTGGACCCAAAAACCAAATACGCCAACGCAACTGCATGGAAGGCAATTGTCAAATTCATTACTTGAGTTTTGTTTGTATTTCTATTGTGCGTATATCTGTTCTACATTTGAAAATTTTCTTTTTTTTAAACTCTTATGAAACAGCACAAGAAAATTTGAGCCTAGGTCTCAACTGTGAAACTCAAGCATATGTGTAGACCTTCCAAAGACCTTATTTACTTCAGGCTTCTCATAACTTTAAAAAAGCAACCTGCTTAATTAAAAGATTCACCGTTATAGAACAGGAGAAAGATCAGTATTCTTTGAGATTTTGTTACAAAGAAGATACTTGCTTAATATACTTTGTTACTGGAGTTCTCAACAAATAGCCTGTAAGACAAGAATTATCCTCAGTTCACAGCCTCAAAAACTGAAGCCTGAATAGGTGACGTAACTAGCCCAGGTCACCCAGGTAGCCAGTCATGGAGCCAGTGCTTGGACTCAGCCGCATCTGTCCCCAAGCCTCTGTTCTTTTCTCCTCAGGCATAAATATGCTATTGGGAGCCACTGACTCACCTTTTACCTCTATTTTCCCCTTGTACAAATGGCTTTACCTTTATCTTCTTTCTAAGACCAGCTCTTTCCTGATCTCTCTGGCAAATCTTTGCTAACATGAAGTCCTCTCAGGGCTGGGGTAGTAAGAATGGGAAGGCCTCAGCAGAAATGGGAAGCCAGAAAGATTTGCCTGGGCCTCACTGGCCTCTTAGAAAGCTGCCCCGTCCTCCCCAGGCCCCCAGAAGCCTGTGGCCCCTCACTACCTTGAATTGCTCCGATCAGAAGGAAGCCAGTCTGAGAGGTCGGCAACACTCCAGTGGAGTGCAGTCCAGTGGAAACAGAATACAAGCTGTGAATGGAATTTAAATTTTTCCGGAAGCCTCCTTGAAAGAAGTAAAATGAAACCCTTGAAACTAATTTTAGGGATATATTTTATTAAAAGCAATGCATTCAAGATATTATCATTTGAACATGTAATCAGTATAAAAAAATTGTTAGTATATGAACAGAAGAACATAAACTATCCCACTAAGCCTTAGAATTCTGATGTATATTTTATAGGTACAGCATAGCTCGATTCAGACTAGCCACGTTTCGTGGCTGTCGTATTAGAGAGTGCAGCTGTGGTACAGATTCGCTGTTAAACTCCTCCAGGACTATTTACATTTTTTACAAGAACGTGGGGTGGGGTGAGGGGCACCATTTCTCTAATGGGGGCATGCCTGGCAGCTAGGCAAAGGAAATATTCCTCAATCCCTCAAATGCTTCAAAACGTAGCCTAGTGCTCAGAGGAGAATCAAGTAACCCCGTGGAGCTTATTTTTCTCGTCCATAAGGAAAGGTGCAAACCAGCTATAGGAGCACATCTCTCACCCTTATCATCATCTCCGTTCTCTGCAGCCTCCTCGGCGGTCCTCCCTAGGGGGTTCAATTAGTTGTTTTAGATGTCTTTAGCTTTGATGCTTTCTTTTCGCTTCGGGCAACAGCTCCAACCTGCTGGTAGTGGCAGCTTGAAATGCTGTGTCCACCGGGGTTCTGAAGCTGCATCCAAGCCAACTGGGAAAAGGATGCAGTTGTCAAATTGTGCTGTCTGCCAGTGAGTGGGGAATAATGACATGGTCTGGATCTGCCACCACCCCCACCCGCAGCCTTAGAGAGTCAGTCCCGAGGGAAGAAGCTAGGTTAGGGATCCAGCAGTTCGGGTGTGGAGCAGCACAGGAAGGTCTTTGTGCCCAGGTAGCTCAGTGTTCCTGGCTCGGTGGGAACCCTGACAAGGTTGGCAGCAGAGACGGGGAGTCAGCCCGGGGCTTAGGCACAGGCTTCTGAGAGGAATTTCCTTTTGATGTGTAGTCCTGTCCAGTGGACTTTTAGAAATCCTACAGTTTAGAAATTCTAAATCCTTGGTATCTTGTGTTGAATAAATGGGCTCATTTTTTCCAGAAAGGAGAAGTATTGGAAAGAGCAGTGGGCTGGGAGTCAAGAGTCCTGGGTTCAGAGCCTGCTTCTGATGCTTGCTAAACTGTGGGTCTTAAGCTCTCTGATTTCGCATTCCTCATCTGAAAAGGGGAGTAGCATTGAGAATGCCTGCCTGGCTAAGCACCCAGCATTATTTTGTAGCCTAAATGAGATAAGACAGGGAAAAGTGCTTTGGAAACCATATGCTGTCCTTCATGCTACAGGGTTGTTATCCAGGGGCGCCTGGGTGGCTCAGTCCAGTCAAGCTTCCAACTCTTGGTTTCGGCTCATGTCATGGTCTCAGGGTTGTGGGATCGAGCCCCAATTTGGGCTCTGTGCTCAGTGGGGAGTCTGCTTGGAATTCTCTCTCCCTCTGCCCCTCCCCCTGCTTGCATGTGCACTCTCTCTCTCAAATAAATTAATTAAAAAACAAAGGGCTCTCTCTGAACTCACATGGGTGAGTCTTCTGATTTTGCTTGTGTTTTTTTGTTTGTTTGTTTGTTTGTTTTTTATAGGTACTTCAAGAAGGACAAGGCAGTTTGGTACTTTTCCAGGCAACTATGTAAAGCCTTTGTATCTATAAGAAGATTGAAAACCAGAGATTATTTTTATTGGAGGATGAAGCGTAATTCATGAACTGGACTCTCTATTTAAACATTGAGTCAGTAGGAAAACTAATGCAATGGATAAAGTAAGAAGCAAAAGAGAGGGACAGAGAAGTGTTGTGTCTAAAGCCTGAGCCTGTCTACGCTTGCAGTGTATCAGGCAAGCCGAACTGAGGAAAAAGGAATGAGGCAAATCTGTATTTACTTAGCTGCTTCTGGGAGCCACTCCAAGCTTTCCCAGCCTTTCCCCTTCTTGGGTAATCTGACCTGTAACACAGTCCAGGATCAGTGAGGTCAGAAATGTCTCTTGCTGCCCAGGCCTTGACCAGCTCTGGCTCAAAGCGGTCATTTAGCCACAAGCAGCCCTCGGAGCACCAGGCAGATCCCCGGCCATTCTCCAAAGGCTCTGCACCCCGGCCACCCCAGAGCCCACCGGTTTCCCAACATTGCTGGAGATCTGCCTGGGCTGCCGAGGCCATCCCTGGACAGTGGCGGGGGCCCCCCAGGCTACCCAAGACCATGTGCCTCACTCCTGGGGTACGTGGAGAAATGGAAGCAGAACGGAGGTGCCCTGTGCAGTCAGCCTGCATGCGGCATTGCCTTCGACGCCCCTGGTGTTCAGACAGAAAAGCACATGAGGTTTGCCCATGGGCATGGGGTGCCCAGGTCAGGTAGTTAAATTTGTGTTTCCAAGTGATGAAGTTAAGAAGTTCTGTAGCTGTCAAGGTCACTTGCAGTGTGGTCCTTTCCCATATCACTGACTTTTGTAAGTGGTCACCTTCGGCACAATTTCATTTACCAGAATGCCAGTGCTAAGCTTTCTTTTCTGGATTGTTTCTGGCCAGGGCAGTGTGAGGTCGCTAGACCTGTTCTCACAGAGAACCAAGGATGGCGTTCAGTGAATCATTTAATAGACACTGATGCACACCGGATGCCAGGGCCACCGGTGAGCAAGACGTGCTCCACGCCGTAGGCTTACTGCGTCCTTGTTTTCGCTCCCCGAAGTAGCTCGGACCACCCACAAGGTGGTCGCCCAGGGTCCTGAGTCCCGACGCACCCTGAAGCGAGGTGAAGAGGCCTTTCTTCAGAGCAGAAGGCACACAGGCAGCGGCCCCATGTGTGAGGCAGTGGGAGGCCTGCCCTCTGTGGGGCCACGTGTGAGGAGGGAGGCCCCTGTGACGCCCGGGGTGCTCGGTCACAACTCCATCCGATTCGAGGATGTTCATCAGCCCCTGTGGTAGACCCCTTGAAGAAATAGGGACTGGCCCACCTGCCTGCCGGGAACTCAGGGGTGACGGGAGGGGCAGACACACAGGAATATTGGGTCCAGAGAGACTGTGAGATGTGCTAAGAAGGGTATGAGAGATGGAGGTTATCTTTCACTGGAGAGACTCTAGAAAGCATTGTCGTATTTCTCTCTCCATTCGCTCACTCTTGAACAATAAGGCTGCTAGAAGAACCTTTGTCTGAGGGTAGTTTATGGCTGGAAGTTCTTGGAACCGTTTCCAGAGTCTTCAGACTCTCATCCTCCCCACAAGTACACATCCAAGGTCACAAAGAGAAGCAGCAATTCTAGGTAGGTAAGGTGTATACAGGAACCCTGGCTCCCTGCGTGTAGCTCAGAATTGCCGGCGGACCATTGTCCCGAAGTCTGCAGTCTTTACAAGTAGGCGGAGTTTGTCTTCAGTGCCTCTGCCTCACCTTCTGTCTCTACCACCCACCTGCCACCCCTCAGCTGTGCACCCCACCTTCCCCATCACACAGCCTCATTCTCTCCCTGTCCTCCTTTCAAGTCCCGGTCTCAGGAAGGAAACGGCTGCTTACTCCTTCACACTAGAGTGTAAATGACTGATAAGAGGAATGTGTTAACTTCTTCCCAGAGACATTTGTTTTTAACTAGAGCAGAGCCTTAACCCCAAGGGGTGAGGCTGTGGAATTAACAGTGGGGGCAGGGGGTGCTGGTGGTGGAGGAGGAGGAGCTTCCTGGGTAGAAGGAGACTTTCTGATAGTCTTTGAATCAGACTCCTTGCTTTGGAAGGTCCACTTCACCATCCGAGGGTGCCGTTTGACTCTCTCCGAGGGGATATAGTACAAGTGCATATGCACGTGCGTTTTGCACGACAGCATTTCACTCACTTTTGGAATGTAACTCCTTTATTGGCTAACATGTTTCCTGGTCTGTCTTAGATGCAAACAATTAATAACGATCTTACTCTTAATAGTTTTTTTTTTTGAGGGGTGCTTCTTGATTAAGTAGGTAATTTTGAACACCTCTTTAAATACAGCTAGAAAATAAAACCAATTTGTAAAGCCACATTTGCATATGATGCCAGCCTCACGCATTTGTAGATCTCCAGAAACCCAGGTATGCCTCACCAATTTGCCCGTCTTTAACAAAATCATGTTAAAATTTGCAAAATTTGCATCGAACTTCAGCTTCCTATGTATGACAAAACAAGGAACAAAGGTTTCCAATTGCTCTTTTGTCCTCATTTAGTAATATAAAATACCTATTTTTATGCTGAAATATTTATACAAGTTTATTAATAGCAAGTGCAACTAACGGGCACCATGCCTTGCAACACATTTTGATATAATCGCCATGCTTCTGGGTAAAGGCAAGCCCCCAGCTACTTATCTTTTGCAGTCTCTCTCGGATCAGTAAAAAAAAATCATATGCGTAAGAAGTAGGACTGTAAATATGTATATTTAACTTTGTATAGCCCATGTACCTACTTTGTATAGAAAAATAATTTTAAAAATTTGAACCGAAGGGGGGTAAAATAAGGAAGTCATGAAGTTTTTTGCCTTTTTATTTAAATGAAGGAATTCCAAATAACTCACCTGCAGATTTTTAGCACAAAAATAGCCATTGTAAAGTGTTAAAATTTCAAATAATCATTCTTTCTGGGAGAGAAGGTAATTGCTATCTCAATTATATAAATAGGTTTTTTTAATTTTGTTTTTGTTTTTTTTTGCAGTCCTATTTATCTACAGTAGGTATTAAGTTCTTTTGCTAGAATAGGTTACTACAGAGAAGGTTATATTCTGAAAGAAAAATAACTGACATTATATATAACCAATTAATTTAAAGTGTTGCCATTTTAATTACACCTGGAGAGCATGTACTATGCCGACACAGATTGTCCTGTTCATTTATTTTTCTTTATTGCGGTGGATTGATTTGATAAATGGATGTGTTGAGTTACTACATTTGCTGTACATATTATTTAATAAACTTTATTCAGAATTGCGTGGCATATGTTTGTTCTTACCATTCATTGTTTCTTTCCTTCCTTCGCCAGGTTTCTCAAGGGAGGCTTGTATTCACTGCTTCGATAGCGCATCCCCTCCTTTCCCTTCTTAATCACATACCGTCTTGCTTTGCTCCTGGAAGACCTCAAGTCTTACCTTACTCCTTTCTCAATAAGCTAACTCTGTGACCTTCTCGGAATGGACTACTGTTGACCATCTCACCATGCTTTCTATTCTGATTGCAAAAATAATGATATGTCTTTAAAAGCTCAAGTGAAACATTATAAAATACGTGCAACGGGTCTTGATTTGCTCCGCAAGACATGGGTACAGGAAGTGATACAGCATTTGGTTTTCCTAAATCGAGTTAAATTGGCTATGAGCCTTCTCTTGCTGGGATGGGTGAAAATGCAGTCTGTCCCCTCTCAAACCAAGTGTGTCAGGGTGGTGGCATACCTGGCATCCCGTGACTAGGACCACACCCATCTCTGGGGGGCAGGGCCTGCTGTGCACAAATCAAAGCTCCACCTTCCCCTGGTTCTGTCCTTCTCCACCTCTGTCAACTCAGCACTGCCACCTCTCGGGGGTGACTCAGTGACATCCCTCTCGGTAGACTTGGGCCTCCAACAGTCATGGGAGAAGGGTTGCCTTCTAGGGGGTCTGACGGCCTCAGGACTGAGCCCGGGATCATGGGCACTACTTTCAGGCCGTTCATCCCTTCCAACAAATCCATCAGCTGTACTTTCAGAACCCAACCTTTTCTCTCTGGATCCTTGTGCTTGCTTTCTAACTCACCTTCCTGCTTCCACCCTTGCTACCTCTACTCCGGTCTTAACAGAACAACCAGAGTGAGCATTTTAAAGTCTATCCAAAACCCTCTCGTGGCTTCTCACATCACTGAATGGTACCATGGTCTCAGGTCCATTGGTACACTGTCCCACCCCGCTCCCTTACCTTGGCTTCATTTCTCCTTGCTCCTTATGGCCTCAGACTCGTCAAGCACACTGCAAGTTCAGGATCTTCCATTCCGTCTTCTCCCCGGAAGACCCTTTCTGCTGGAGCTGCGTGGCTTTCTTCCGCCCTCTCTTTACATCTTTAGGTTGCCTTCTCAACGAGGCTTTCTCTGACCACTTTATATATAACAGGACCCTACCGTTTCCACCCAGCATCCTCTCCCCCTTCTCATCCTCTGTGCTTTATAACTCATCAGCATCTGATACGTGTTTCACAATCCTGTAAAATCCCTGAGGATAATGATTCCATTTGCCTTTTATATGCCCAGCACCAAGAAGAGTACCTAACATAGTGGGCACTCAGTCACTTGATCAAGTAAATGCGTAAATAAATGAACCCCTGGGGCCAGAGATCTTAGAACTCACAATACTAATAATGAAGGAAGGGATGCGTTATCAGTTCTTTTTCTTATAGCAGCAGAAATAGAACAGCAATTAATCTCAAATTACTCTGAGCTCAAACAGCAGGTGAGAATTTTCTGTAATTAAGGTCACCTCCCCACAGAGATTACTGCTGCTGACTACCCGCTCTATGGTCCTCTGAGCTTTCTTTGTACAGTACACATGGTCTATAAACAAAAGCTTTGCATGGTCTTATACACTTTTCCCCCCTTAACAATAGAGCTTGGACATGTTTCCATAATTTACTTAACCAATCCCCTATTGATGATGCGAATATTGCCAGTTTTTCCCCCCACAATAAATAATGCTGCATTGAATACAATTATTGGCTCAAAGAGCA